CCGCCACCTACTGGGATGGAGTGTGAGGCGATGATATCAAGGGAAATGCTAATTCCAAAAAAAAAAACTCTACCTATATTTTATTATATAAATTGGTTCTTTTCAGAAAATTAATAAGAGCTTTATAACCTTTATGAGAACTGTTTAACACATTCTGTAATGTCATAGAATTAATGCCGGCAGATTTTAATTACTCTTCTAACTGTATTCTTTCCCTTTCATATGCCCTACAGTTAATCAGCACATGCTCTACAGTTTCTGGAAGTCCACAATGATTACATTGACCAGATTCATGTCTTCCTATCATCTGGAGTGATTTATTAAGAGTAGAGTGTCCAATTCTCAATCGAGAAACTGTATCATCCCTTCTATTACCATAAGCAGTTCTTACTTGTCCAACTTGTTTATTTATATTATACAAATGTCACCCTTTGTTACCTTTATCCCATCTCTCTTGCCATATCTTTCTGACAGCTACTTTAATTAAACCTTTAATTTCAGATTTACTCAAGGGTATATGTATGTCAATAGGTGTGTGCTTAAGAGCCTGTTTCTCTATCTAACTGATATTTCATTCACTCGGCAGCGCTAAAACCAGCACTGTTGCCAACTCTCGCAAGATAGATAAGCAACCGCAGCTTAAAAAACAAGTCCAATATATATATATATATATATATATATATATATATATATATATATATATATATATATATATATATATATATATATATATATTTCCCTAACAAGCAACCATATTTTTTTAAATAAGCCCAAAAAATTTATATAAGCATTGTATTTTTAACTGTACTATAAAATAACTGTATTTTTATTTTATACTCAATTTATTTATTTTTAAATATAATAGTATCATCACACTGATTATTTTGTTTATTATTTTATTATATTATATTAAAATACAAAATAAATAAATGCAATAATACTATTATCACTATTAATAATTATTTTATTTTTATAGTTATATTTAATGAGTCACACTATGTGCAGTGTGAGTTACAAACTAATTCTCCAGGCGCTCTCATGAGAACCAGACCGAAAAACTTATGTGCACCCCGTTTATAACATTTGTCATATTGGACGCGGTTTCTGCAGGTCTTAAAAACTCTTAATTCCCGCTTTCTCAAATTAAGGTCTTAAAGTAAAGTCATTAAGTATTCAATCAGTTCATAAAGTCGTGGTATTAATTGTTGCATGTAATGAAAAAAAATCTCAGTATTTTTGTTTTGTTTTCGAATACAAATATCTAATCATCCTTAAATCAAGATGCATTCACTTGAGAAGCAAAATGAAGCCCTATTTTCTGAAGAATTTAACAATATGAAGTGAGTTTATGTTTAAAACAAGAACACATATTAAATCATATGAAAACTTGTTTTCCCTTTGAATTAAGATTTTCTAGCAGAGCCCATTCGAAGCTATTTCTTTTTTCTTTAATCATGAAAAACAAAAAACAATAATTTTTATTAAAAAGTTATGAAGCTCTGTTGGAAGTTGTTGTTTTTTTCCAAAAAGGTCTTAAAAAATCTCAAATTTACCTTCAGAAAACCTGCAGAAACCCTGATCCGTGGCTGATTGAACAATTAGGAGAGCCCTGGTTTGTTGAAATGTCATATTAAATAAAAATTATACTTATTTATAAGTGGAACGTCTTTGAAAATGCTGACAACACTATCTTCATTAAAATAAAAAAAAAGATGTAATGATGCACCCTGGTCTGAGACTTGGTGTCACTGTCATGTAGTTAATGTCTCCCTCTAGTGAGCACAGCTAGTGACAGCACAACTCTGCATGAACACCGGTTACAAACATTCATATCGTTGCCACACGCATGTTTTGTTGAAAACATAAAGGATTTTGTACAAATTTAGGAAGCCAAGTCCAACAAGATATATAGACTATTTGACAGGATTATAAGTGCCAAATGGTTTCTAAGTCTCAGTGCACTCAGCCTCTTAAATCTTGATGAAAGGACCACTTTTAAAGTCTATTAACAAAATATGTTAAACCAGTGATTATTTGATATTAGACAACTAAAAAGGTGAATGGAAATGGAATGGTCAAATTCTTTCACTGCAGTCATAATCCTCTGTAAATCCTGTTTAACTGAAAGTATAAGGCAAGCCATATTAACATTTATTTCTATCAAACTAATACCTATTTTTGATATACATATTTTAATTTGAAGTAAACAATCCAACACTGTCTGGTGTCTTTTTTCAAATGTAATAACTTAGTATTTAGTAGATATTAGTACTTATCCCAGTAGCTACAAATATCTATCCAGTTAGTCACTAGTACGCATTTATCAGGTTGGTTAGTATTTATTCCTTTGCCAATAATGATGATAAACTGCACATTTTTGCCACTGGATCATATGGGGATCTGTTGCTCAGACAACTATTAACTAGTGAGCTAGTGAGATTAGAGATTTTTCAAGTAACATCTGGGATAGATACGATAGTATCTCATACTGAAAGTACTAGTGACTAAACTAAAAGTTGACTAGTTACTAGGAATAAGTATACAGGCTATAATTAGCCTATTAATGAAACCGAAAATAGATACTTATAATTATAAAGATAATTATTGTTTCCTCCTCTGCCCGCCTTTCTGAAACGCGTAGATTTTTACAAAGCTCATCGGTCTGAAAAGCGAGGTGTGCTGTGATTGGCCAGCTATCCAGTGCGTAATGATTGGCCGAATACCTCAAGCGTGTGACGTGGCATTCGTTGCATCCAGTGGGGACATAATTATGGATTATAATAACTTATACTGTCTTTTTACGCGTTGCGTTGCATCGCGCCGCGTTGCATCGTGCCGCGTAAACATAAAACCATGTCTGCATTTGTGATCGGAGAAATGACAAACAAGAAGCGCTACTCTACACTGCTCAAAACTTGCGTTTGAATCATCAGTGGCAAATTCTTTAAATATAAAAAACGTACTTACAGTCTGTGAGTCAGAACAGCCGGCATTGTAGTAGTATTTGGGTTGAAGTGTTCTGGAACAGTGTTGTAAATACAACTTAACCACTGATTTCTAGTTGTGTCCATTTTTGGAAGGCCAAACAAAGTAGTTTCACTTTCACAACGAAACACAGCGTCACACACGGCGGCCAAGAGTGAGCGGCGGCGGCCTATCCACCTTTTTCTTCAACGCGGAAGTAAGCCTATGGGTGAGACTTCCGGTTCATTAACCGCTATAGGTAAATAACGAGGAGAATAACAACGTGCAGTAAACGGTAAAACTGTTTGCACTACAAACCAGTGTGTTCATAATTTCAGATAATACATTAAAATAATATGATAAGACACACCAACTTTCAATATCAAGCAGCAAAACGAACTGTTTTGTTCAGCTAAAAATAGCTGGACGGAGTGGACGCAGATGAAACCGGAAGCCATACCCATATATTTTCCAAATGGCCGCGCCCATTTTTACGACAAGAAAAAGGTGGATAGAGTGAGGAAGGGCCGGAGGGCTAGAGTGAGCGGAGGCTGGTGGGCTTGAGAACGGCGCGGCCGGCGGATTCGACGAAGGAGCGGCCGGAGGGCTTGCAGCAACCACATGTGACGACTCCGGGCTGGACTCCGCTTCGTCCACGGTGAAAGCCGATCCGGCGATCCACAGCGCTAAGTTGTTGTATTTCCTCAGCAACCAGCACGGATCAGCTCCAGGCATGACGAAGCGATAGCATTCTCTTTTGGAAGGCCAAACAAAGTAGTTTCGCTTTCACAACGAATCACACAGCGCCTTCACGTCATGGCAGCGGCGGCAACAATACTACAGCGAGAATAAAAGTTACGCCTTCTTTCTTTGCGTGAACATTTGGGCGGCGTTATGCAAATCTTCCCACATCGTGACGTAGACATGTGGGGGGCGTGTTAGAACGAGCCATTTTAGGTAGGCGTGGTTGACTCTTAACTTTTATAAAGAATATCTCTTTAGATTTGAGACTTTAGTCTTTGCAACTTTACAGATCTTCTTTATGCACCAAGAGCTTGTAACACTCCAAAGAGAAAGGAAAAATTGAAATCGTGTCATATGACCCCTTTAACTAGTGAACTAGTGACATGAAAAATGTCCCTAAAAGTGATAGATACTTTTGTCTCTTACTTCAAGTAATAGTGACTAACTGGAAGGTGACTAGTCACTAGGAATAATTACTATACAGGCTATAATTAGCCTACTAGTGAACTTGAAAATAGATACTGTTAGTCACATAAAGTGACATAAAGTCGTAAAGTAACATTACATAGATACTATGTTTTCATGGGGGGAATTGTGAAATGAGCTTGCCATAAAAAGGGATAAACTGGAGTAGCATGTGTTATGCAAAGGCAGTCACTGGTTACCTTTTGAATACGCGCTTGTGATTGGCTGTCCAGGCTGTCACTCCATCTGTGGGCGTGGCCAGCCCACTCCACTCTAAAACACGCTGCGCCCTGAGAGCGCTTCATAACAGTCATTTCATTTACAACCGCACAAGGCATGGTACGAGGCACACATCGCTGAGTTACACAGTGCAATCAGACACAGGGCTTCACTGTTAGTCAGCTCTGATCATGTGCGATTGTTAGAGTTAGCAAACTAGACAAAATCTTCACTGCACTTATCCTCTGTTTAAGGACAGTCAGCTGACTTTGGCTTTAATTTTGTGATGGCAGAACCGCAGCAACAGCTGGTTGACATCGACCCGGATTTCGAGCCTCTCTCCCGGCCGCGATCATGCACCTGGCCGCTGCACCGACCTGAATTCAGCGAGCCGGGGAGCTCGAACACGTCCTCCCCGGCGCCGTCCGTCAAGACGGAGCAAGGCATCGTGGACTTTATCAACAGCCTAAGTTTACTAGAAGAGACCGAGGACTACCCGGAGGAGAAACCCGTCCTTTTGAACGACTTCCACTGCCAGGACAACTGCGTTCATCCCCAGCAACAGCATCCCCAGCAGCCGAATCCCCAGCTGACTCACCCGCAACAGGTGCCGCCGCTCCCCGCACCTGCCAGCAGCTCCAGCCCTGCAGCGGCCCAGAGGAAGAGCAGCTCGTCTCGTAGGAACGCGTGGGGGAATATGTCATACGCTGACCTCATCACCAAGGCGATCGAGAGCTCCCCTGAGAAGCGGCTCACCCTGTCTCAGATCTACGAGTGGATGGTGAAGAGCGTCCCTTACTTCAAAGATAAGGGCGACAGCAACAGCTCTGCCGGCTGGAAGGTAATGGCTCTCCAAGGCCAAGCACAAGTGCCATTAAAAGTAGCATTAGAGGTCCCATCATATTGAATATGTTATATTTAAATACACTAACATATAGAAGTATTTTTGCAGCCTGAAAGCATCCTTTAATGTGTCCATTAAATAATTATTTTGCGTTTGCAACTCAATTTAAAAAAACAATTAGGAAAAATAAGGGATGTGATTCACAATATAAGTGGAAGGATGAATGTTTTTCTACATTTATACGTGTGCAGTTGTTAGCTAAAATAGCAATTCATATCCGATAGTAATCTTTTACAAACAAAAACACAAATTTTCTTAATATCGTAATCTGTTTTTCCAGTAAAAATACCTAAACTACCTTAAAAGAAGATGCATTTAATGTGTAAGACATTAAAATTTTTTTGAGAATATCTTAAATTAATTGTTTATCATTTCAAGTATAAATCTAACATAATCAAGAAACAAGATTTATTTATTTATTTAGGCTGTGTATTTCCTCCTAAATGACCTTTTTACCTGACCTAATTACCTCTACCTGACTGGTCATTTTTGTTGGGAACCTAATGTAGGCAAGCTTTACAGGGGGTCCTGGGTGGGTCTGGCCTGACCAACCATGTTCTAGCCCACCCCTGCAATCACCCACAACTGTCTGTCCCATCTTATATCTCTTATATCTTAGAACTAGTGAATTTAATTCACTAGTTCTAAGATATAAGAGATGTATAATATAATGCTTTTGACTTGAGCTAACTTTTGGTGTTACCACATGAAGCACATGTTGAGACTTTTTTATTTACGTAGCATAATATATGACAGTAACAATTATCCTTCAAAAGCGCAGTTGGATTGATTCTCTCTCAGAGCAAATGAATGACATGCGGTTTGTTATGGAATTTAAGGCTCGAAAGAGAAGGGAACTGAGCTCTCAGTGTTCAGAAGAATGCATGACATCTCAGTATCAGCTGCGATTTTGCTGATGCCAGTTCAGTTTAATCGTTTATTATCCTTGATAGAAGAACTTGTGGATTGGCTTTCTGTCATCAGCCTGATGTAGAGAGAGGGTTAAATAAGGGGAAATAACAAATCGTACCCACTCATGAACAAAAAAAAACCCCCCGCTGTTTTTTTTTTTACTTGCCCTCATGTCATTCCAAACCCGTATTACTTTTTCTCTTCTGTGAAGGTAGGAAATTTGTTTTGCATGCTGGTACTGAATCTTTCATGCTTCAAAAAGGATGCAAAACCGCCATTAAAAAGTGGTCCATACATCTTGTGCACTATATTATTCCAAGTCTGAGCTTAAGGCATACAATAGCTTTGTGTGAAATATAATGAAAAGAGTGACCAAGTAAAGTCTTTAAAGTTTCTACTTTTTGTGAGTAAACTACTGTTATTTGTCTTGTTGTGTGACTGAACTGTGGTCATTTTCATCGGTTGCAGTCATGTGACGTATTTTTCCAGCGCTCATGCAGAGGTATGTAGTAAGTCTTGTGATTTGACGACACATTTCTAGCTCCTGAGGTGCTTTGAGGTGCCTGATGACTAAAACCAACTATCATGAGTCCTGTAAGGCTGCCACGAGTGAGGTGGAGCAAACAGAGAGTGGTTTTAGTGTTGAAAGGATCTTTGTCAACCTGTCATTTATCACTAGAACACTTGTTCCTGTCACTGATTCACCCCTCCATACAAGCCACTTTTGTTTCTTTGCTTGCTCGGTGTGTAAATGGAAATACAAATCCTTACCGTCACACATGTCAGGGCCTCCTCCCAACACTGAGCTAAAAATACCGGCAGGATTACCTGTCATTACAGGGAGACACATTTACCTGAAAGGTGTGGTCCGCCCCCCTCCTCACCGCCATCGGCTCTACACGTCATGGCAAAACATCGTCTGGACTCCTTCACCTGTGACATCATAGTTTCAGCATTCCAGTCACTCGTAGGATGTTTGTAGGGGTTGGACTGTTCTTTATCATCATACTGTCTACACACCTGAGACAATACAACAGTATTCTGCTACCTGTCTATTCTAGATTCCAGTCTATAATTCATATTTTTATATATTAAATATTTAAAGGGGTCCTATTATGCTCTTTTACAAAGTCTTGATTTTGTTTTGGGGGTGTACTAGAACAGGCTCTCATACTAAGTTGTTCGAGAAAAAAAAAACATATTTTACATTATTACAACACCTCTCTCCCCAGTCTGGCATGAACGGCTCGAATAGTTCCTGTATCAAATGAAGGCCCGCCTTCTGAAATACGAAATGTGCTGTGATTGGTTAGCTGGGCCAGTGTGTGTTGTGATTGGCAGCACTCGACGCCTGGTTGGGAAATGTCATGCCCCTTACCATAGCTGCCTGCCAGCTTCAGTGTAAATATTGCGTCAATATCAAATTAATTTGAGCACGATTTAAACCCGGATGATTGTAACCACTCTAAGTTCATCTGCCTTGGGAAAACTAGCGTGCCTCCGACATACTGTAGTGATACCACTCTTTGCCTTCTCTAGTGCAGCTCAACCAGGTCTCGTCCCATTCGTCGATATTTGTGATATCACAAATCGTGGAAAACGAGTCGTTCGTTGTAGTTTTTGAAAAGTGATTTCTGTTAAATAAAATATCTCCTTTTAAAGTGGACTTTGAGCTTTGTAACTTTGCAGATCTTTTTTACGCTCAAACAGCAACATTACATACTAACTAAAGTTGAAAAAGTGAAAAAGCATAATAGGATCCCTTTAAAATAAATATATGCATATATATTTTAGACGATTAACAAGCTGCAACAAATAATTTATTAGGTTTTAAATTTGCAGTAATAGCTGGAAAGGATACAACTATGATGAAACTTCAATACAGCTATAAATTCAAAAAACCCACTTTTGATGGAAAATGATGTCCATAATGTGATTTCTTTATGATTTCCAACCCTTTCTAACTGATGCTTGCAAGACACCACAAATTATTCTTGAAACTGTGACAAAACTTCATCTGTGTTAGCCAGCTGGATACATTTAACAACTAAAGTTGAAAAAGTGAAAAAGCATAATAGGATCCCTTTAAAATAAATATATTTTATAAATATATGCATATATATTTTAGACGATTAACAAGCTGCAACAAATAATTTATTAGGTTTTAAATTTGCAGTAATAGCTGGAAAGGATACAACTATGATGTAACTTCAATACAGCTATAAATTCAAAAAACCCACTTTTGATGGAAAATGATGTCCATAATGTGATTTCTTTATGATTTCCAACCCTTTCTAACTGATGCTTGCAAGACACCACAAATTATTCTTGAAACTGTGACAAAACTTCATCTGTGTTAGCCAGCTGGATACATTTAACATGGTGACATATTTAAATCAGAATAATTTGCAACAAGAAAACCAAATGCTTAAGTTTGAAAGATATAAAAACTGTATGCAAATGTCTGTTAATGGAAGACATACTATCATTGCACCACTTTTTTTGCTTTTATTCTGAAACTTACACCGTGTGCTAAAGAGTTTGTCCTAACCAGCCATGATAACCAGATATTTTGTTGATTGGTTGGCTGTGGTTTCTGTAGTGTAATGCTGAATTGTTCTTTCCACTTCGGAATCTCATTGGTCCAAAACACCAATGTTCTACATCAAATGTGTTCTAATTGGCTGTTATCGTGCCTTTTGGGCCACATCAGTTTCATTGTGGACAGATTGCTTATCGCTGGAATCATGTTTAAGATTCATAATCATAACTGAATGAAAGCTGGAATTGTGTGCAAACTGATCACTTTTGTTTAGTACACTAGTTTTTTTTTTTTTAGTTTCAAGCCTTGAATTTAGGTGTAGCTGCTAGATAGAAGTCAAGGAGGTTGAAGTGAAAAATGCTACCCTGTGGTTCAAGTGTCTCCAGGGTTCAGAGGTCAAAATTTAAAGGTCATGCCACCAAGTTTGTGGTGCATGTAATGGGAGTCCATACTCATTCCCTTAAAAGCCTTGGCAGTTTGCACCCAAAGCTAGAGATGTTACTATGTGTGGTATTGTGATACAATCTTGTGTGGAGCCTTACTCTAGCTCATCTTGTGTAATTCAACACACCCTTTATAATTCATATCGTTTTATTGCCATTTTTACTATTTTAATTCCATTCATAATGTCATTAACAGCACTAAGAGTTACTCACCCGAATTAATAAATGAACTCATGTGGTGTTCATTTAGGTATTTTAGAAGAAAAAAAAAAACAAGCTTTCTCACTTCCCCCTCTTTCTCAAGCTTTTGAAAAATGTTTAACTCTGAGCCCTACTTACAGCACATGAACCCTGTTACCTCTACATGCTTTGAAGTTCACCATAGGCTTTCACCTCACCCACTAACACTCACACATGCACAAACATGCAAGCCATACATTTGCACGTTAGTGTTTTCGTTTCAAGGCACACACAATATTTGTTCAAGCTTATCTTGAGCAGATACCAGTTTGTATCCTAGTTTGTCGTTCAGTAAGTTTCGAGTGTAGGCGTACTGGCCACTGATTCTCCAAAACTATAGTCACTTTTGACCTGTTTGTGGATTCAAAGTGTGCATTAGTTTTAAAATCTAAATTCTAGAATTTTACATTTATCTTATTCAGTTTGTGAACTCTGGGGCAGTTTCTCAGAATGTGTTTGACAGATAAATGTCAGTACGTACAGGTGAAGTGTGCAGAAGTTGAAGTTTGTGGTTTGTAGATGATACCTGCTTTGCATAACACGAGTAGTGCATAGTTAGCATTGTGCAAGGTGCAGCAAAATTGAGGGACATTTTGCTTTTACACACACTCAAAGCGAAAGAGAGAAAGGTAAGGGAGGAAAGGTTTGAAAATGAAATAAAAGCACATGAAGTGCTGCTCCACCGTACCACAGACAGATGAAAGACTTCATCACTGTGGCTCTGTGAGTTGGTGCAGACTTTGGCTCTGTGGGTACCTGTGGCTTTTAATCTAGAGGTACATCAGTGTGCAAGCATGGGA